CTGTGAACATTGACAACTCTACGCAGACGTCGCTAGTCTCGGTCGTTAAGTGCAGGTGGTCGGCCACTGCGCTGTCCATGGTGGATGTTTATGCTGAAATTAGATACTCTCGGCACACTCTTGACACTTGGATCTCGGAATGTTGAATTACCTAACGATATCAGAAATGGGAATGGACCATGGTCTAGCTACAACTACCATTCAGCGTTCAAAGTCTGGTTAATTCTCGTCGTGCGGCCATAATCACGTCAAAGCCTCTTCACATGAATAACTTGAACACAAATGAAAGCCCTGCCAAAGCACTTCGCATTTATACATTTTCTACACGATACTACTGCCATCTGTATATTTGCATATTGCTATCCCATGACTTTTTTCACTTCAGTGTATATAAGTAAGAGAAATGTTTAAAAGCTAATGCTAAAAAAAAATACATTTGACACTATATTTCCTTACCCAAAATGTAAAATCATGTCGCAATTGGAAACAATATTAAAGTAGTAAAATCTATCTCGTAAAAACTAAATATAAAAATTACAATTCGAGATGACTTCAAAATCAAACAGGTGATAAAAAATAAAGAAATTTTAACGCACAAAGAATTAAAAAAAAATTTGGAAAAATTAAGTGCATTTCAAATACACAGTAAATATGTACAAAAAATTGCAATAGAGGGTAAATAGCTCAACTCGAGGTTTGAGCCGGATTTATCAAGGGAAAAGCAGCTCAAAACTCTAATTATGTTAATACCTACAGCGCGTTTCGTCAAACGATAATAATTGAGACTATAAACGTAATTTCACTAACAGAATAATCCAGTAATAATAATAAACAAAGCAAGTCTCAATTATGTCGCTCTTTTCCCGACGCGCGGTAATTTAAATTCCTAATGTAAAACTTACTATTTAACAAAAAAAGGCTTTACAAGACAAGAAAGCCTAGTTAGGCAACTGTACAACTAAAATAAAATAGCTAAAATGCTATAGACGAACTGTAATTTAAATTGTAAATGTAAGAAGTTATTATTAATCAAGTAAAAACAATACAAGAAAGCGTAGTTAGGCAAATGCACAATTAACTAAAAAATATACTAAAACTTATATAACTAAAAAACTTATATAACTTATATAACTAACTTATATAACTAAAACTTATATAACTATAAACTTGTATAACTAAAAAAGCTTTTTATTAGTCCAAAAATTACACAGTTTTAAGGGTTGCCCCTCTAGCCTGAAAATTACAAAATTTTTAAGGAGAAAAATCAAAAGAAAGACATTAATTCTTAATTCTATTATTTTATTGTATTTAATTTTTACAAGCGTTTTTTTAAATTCTTTGTGCGTTTAATTTTTTTATTTTTTATCACCCATTTTTGATTTTGAAGTCATCTTGATTTGTAATTTTTACATTTAGTTTTTTACGAGGTAGCTTTCACTACTTTAGAATTGTTTCTAATTGTGACGTGATTTTACATTTTTGCTAAGGAACTATGATGTCAAATGCATTTTTTTAGCATTATCTTTTAAACATTCTTCTTGCTTAGAAAATTAAAAAAAGTTTGCAGCTCAATGCGCAAAATTGACCACTAATGTCTCTCTTATTCATGTGTCCTTGCTACTTTCGTATATATATGTGTGTGCGTATATATATATATATGCGTATATAATTGTTTCATAAGAATAAATTGAATTTAATTAAAAAAATTAAATTTAAATACATATTTAATTAAATATTCTTTGCGCCATTGCTGCAAGGAATGAAATTTAAATTTAGACAAATTTAAATTCTTAACAATACGTATAAAAGTAAAAAAGCAAATTTAAAATTCTAAAAAAAGGAAAAAAGCCGAAATAATTTAAAATAATTTAAAAAAAAATGTGCAAACATGTAAAAGATTTAAAATTATCGAACTAATCTACAATATCATTTAAATTCAGAAGCATAAGCAAATCAAGTGCAAAATCTATCCATGAAAATAAATCTACTAATTTAATAATTAAATTAAATTAAACAATTTTTTTTAAAAAAATGCATATGTGAATGACCGTAGAGTAGGCAGGAGACAGACTTATCAAGCGGAAGTTGCCTCCAAACCTAACTCTCCAATCATTCAATTCGTGTTTCGTCATTCATGCAGGCAAGGGTAAAAGTCAAAACCAAAAGTAATTCCAATAAAGTAATTCCAATATATGCGTATATATTTATATATATAAATAACAGAGTGGGTGTATATATATATATGCTTGATATATATATATATATTATATATATATATATATATTATTATATACACAGTCCAGTCACATTAATGTGACCACCACGTACTTTCCATGTCAGAGTTAAATAACCAATCACAGAAGGCAGGTGGCAGCACAGTGCAGTTGAGCGTATATAAAGGGTGTGTGAGGGCTTCGGAAAACATTTCAATCGTTGGCGTAATGCAGAAACGAAGCGATTTATCCGACTTCCAAAAGGGCATGATCATTGGCTTTCGGGCCAAGGGTGGAAGCATTTCCGAAACGGCTGAGTTTGTGAACTGTTCACAACGTGCCGCCGTGGTAAAAGTGTACCGTGCATGGCAAAATGGGACTGTCCAAAATCAGCGACGTGGCAAATGTGGTGCACCACGGGCCATAGATGACAGAGGCGAACGACGGTTGCAGAGATGCGTTCGGGCAGATAGACGGGCTACCGTTGAGCAACTGACCACCAAAATGAACCAAGGGGCTACCAAAAGTGTCTCCCAAAGTACTATTCAGCGAACATTGCTGCGTCTGGGCCTCCGAAGCAGACGCCTGGTTCGTGCACCTATGCTGACTGCTGTTCATCGACGGCGAAGGCTAGTACAGCAGCTGGACGTCCACTGAGTGGCGACAGGTTGCGTTTTCGGATGAATCGCGTTTTATGCTCCATCGGACAGATGGACGTTGGCGTATAAGGCGTGAAACCTCTGAAAGGAACCACCCTGCAACCATTGCCGGAACGGTCCAAGCTGGAGGCGGGAGCATTATGGTCTGGGGAATGTTTTCCTGGCATTCTCTAGGTTCACTGATCATTGTGGAAGGCACAATGGATCAATACAAGTACGCATCTGTCCTTGCGGACCATGTTCACCCCTACATGCGCATTGTTTTTCCTCAGGATGATGGCATCTTCCAGCAGGACAATGCGAGGTGCCATACAGCTGCCAGTGTACGTGCGTGGTTCGAAGAGCACCAGGATGAGTTTACCGTCCTCCCCTGGCCAGCAAACTCACCTGACTTGAACCCAATCGAGCATCTGTGGGACCATCTCGATCGAGTTGTTCGCGCCATGGATCCTCAACCGCGTAATCTAGCGCAGCTGGCCACGGCATTAGAGTCGGCATGGCTCAACATCCCAGAGAACACCTTCAGGGACCTATGTGACTCTCTTCCTGCACGTCTCGCAGCAGTCCGCTCTGCGAAAGGTGGTTATTCTGGCTTTTTGACAGATGGTCACATTAATGTGACTGGACTGTGTATATATGCGTATATGTATATATATATATATATGCCCACTCTCTTTTATATATATATAATATACATATATGCATATATATATATATATATACACCCCCTCTGTTATTTATATATATATATATACACACCCACTCTGTATTTATCTATATATATATATGTGTGTGTGCGTATATATATATATATATATAAATAACAGAGGGGTGTATATATAATGCGTATATGTATATATATATATATGCCCACTCTGTTTATTTATATATATATACATATACGCTATATATATATATATATATATACACTCACTCTGTTATTTATATATATATATATATATATATATATATACACACCCACTCTGTTATTTATATATATATAAACCCACTCTGTTATATATATATATATATATATATATATATATATACACACACCCACTCAGTTCCGTGAGCTCAGTATTTTTATTTTGGTGAACTGGCCAATTTTTACTCTAAAAGGGATTGAATTATGTTGTGCTTGTGCTTCGATTAAGGGCTTTTATGAATTTAATTAATCCGCATGCAGTATCTATAGAATTATCAACAATTTGAAAGTTGTTTAAGTTATTGTAAGCCTAAGGAGGTCAGAATTTGTTTGCATTTGAAACTCTTAGTAGAACAGTGAATTAAGTCAGTTTGTGTACCAGCTTCAGTGTCTTTTTTCGAGTGGAATCGAAAGTAAAGTTTCGGTATATAAAGTATTTCTTCCGCCTTCTTAGCGTGCCTTCGTGGTGTAGTGGTCCGCACGCTCGGCGCGTATTCCAGAGCTCCATGACTCGATTCCTGGCGAGAGCGTTGCTCATTTTTCATCTTACTTGCTTCGAATTAACCCAATGTCTCTACAAAATGATCCTAAGCCTAAAGACGTCACCATTTGTTTACATTTAAAACTCTTAGTATAATAGTGAATTAAGTCAGTTTTTGCACCAACTTCAGTGTCTTTTTGTCGAGTGGGACCGAAAGTAAAATTTCGGTTTTGCCCATGGAAAATCCGTTTTCCTGTCAGCTGGTTGAAGTGCTTAATGTTGCACATAAAATCTAATTTTAATTGTAAAAATTGCTTTTTTAACTGGTTCTAATTGTAGTTGGTGTTTTACGTTTTCCTGTTTTTTTTTTACAGTTTTTTGATGAAGATGCTTTGAAATTTTATGTATTTTTCAGTGAGAACAGCTGGAAAGTGTTTACAGCAGCCGAAGAGTAATTTTATTGCAAGACTAGCAGCTTCGCTGCCAGCCTTCGTCTGGCTATTAAATGTACCGGAAAAATGGCTGAAGGGAACACCAAACGTTAAATTTAAAAGCTGCGTAGAATTTTACTATGCAGAAAAACTTCATAAAAAAAAGGTATTACGTATTTTGTTATACGTAATAACTTTTTTTGAACAATAAATGAATGAATTTACAATGAAATAAACAATATCCCTTAATACAAATATTAATTATCCTAATAAATAAATTAACCAACTTACCTTTACAAAATCTTGAGAACTCAAATGGTATAAAAGAGGTTAAGAACTTTGTTTCCTAAAAAGAATACTCAAAACTTTTCAATATCTTAAAAACAGTGAAATGAGCAATAAATAACATAAAAGTATACAAAAAACAAAAACTTCTGAAAAGCAAAGTATAATTTATGATATTTTATCTTATATTTTCATGAGAAAAAAATTACAACGAAATAAGCTATATTCCTTAATACAAATATTAATTATACTAATAAAAAATTAACCAACTTACCGTTGAAGGAAAAAAGATCATGCAAAATGTTTCAATATCTTACAAACAGTGAAATAAGCAAAAAATAACATGAAAGAAACACAAAAAACATAAAATTCCGCTCAGAATTTTACTCCGCAGAACAACTTTAAATAAAAAAAATCAATAAAAATGTATTATATATATATAAACGACAGTGAAATATGACAATCTCTTAAAAACATTGACATCAGAAATACGATGAAAAATTGTTGCCAAACCCATATTTCTAAAACAATGAAACTATTCAAAATGATGCGATTTCATCAAAAATCTATCAACAACAATAAGACAGGAAAATTGTTGCAAAATCACATTTTTAAAGATGTGAGATGTGAGAAGTGTACTCGGAAGCTTCATTTAAAAATTTTTTTTTTTTTTAAATACAAAATATTATCGTTTTTCCAAAATTCTTTTTGTAAAAGCAGTCGCAGGGATGAAAGTTTAACGTGTCCCAAAATCAAAGAAAAATAAGCAGTACATTTTTAAAAATAAACTTTTTAAGAAAAGAATCCCCCTGAAAAGGTGTTAAGCTCCCTTTGTTAAATAAATTAGTATTGAATCGATTTATTGAAACACGAAATTTAGTTTAAGTTCGTAAAATAGCTAAGTGCCTACGTTTCATAACGATGTGAAAATGGAGTGTGTAGAGTAAAATCTCGCTTTTCTATAGCCCATTATGTCTCAAAATGACGCGATTTCGACACAAAACATAAAATAAAAAAAGTCTAATTCGAATTTCGAAAAACTCGCTTCGAGGTGCACTGGCTCTTGTGTAGATGCACCTATGTACCACATTTCGTAGCCGTGGGTCTATTAGCTTACGCGCAGGGCGAACAAAAGACACACACACAGACAGACTCTTTCTTTTATTATATGTAGAGATGAATAGATAAATCATACTTTATTATTACGATAACGATGAGATTCAGTTACTGAGAAAACACAGAAAGTGGCGAGAAACAGAAGAAATAGACTCTTAAAGAAAATTGACCTAGCCCTTCTTTATAAAAATACTTTCTTGAGTTTGAAAACAAGAAAAACGACTATGGAAATCTTGGATTCAGTTACCTTTTACCAGCTTTTTCCGAGTCACGAACTGCGATGGAGAAAGGCTAAAGTGAAAAGATTTTTTTGAAGCCAATGTGGAATAAGATTGTTTTAGGGACTTATTTTAAAAGAAAATCTTTCCCACCACGGTTTTAAAATGATTTCTGTCTTCTTTTGACGGTAATCGCACTGGAGGATAGAGCTACTGCTCTTGTCCAATTCCAAAGTTATTCTAAAAAAATACTGTCCGGTTACAGATATGGGTACCATAACAGAGTTTATGGCATATATAATTGAAATATGATGTGTTGCTCCAACTGTTCCATATAAGCGGAATTCATTTAGCCGCGTAGCTGACTTCGAATCACTGGCAGGGTTTGAACAGGCTGATAAGCACCGCCTCCAAGTTTATCAGCTGTTCTGTCGATGGAGTGAAGTAAAGTGTTAGTGATTTCAAAGAAACGTTATTGTTTTGATTATAAAAAATATCTCTCTATATTGCACTTTATTTGAGTATAAGACGTTTATACTTGGATGAATGTTTATTTTTTCGGCTAACCTTCATAGGCTTAAGGCAGTTAAGTTTGCCATTTGGCGAGAAATGTGCCTAAATTTTTTTCAAAATTGGCGATATGCCATGGACGGATGGAGAATCTTTGGAACGTATTCTTACCGGTTTAGCCAGATTGTTTCCGAAAGCCGAAAATTATATTTTAAAATCCTGTCTTTTTCTAATCTAAACAAATGTCCCTAGATTTAGCGATGTTCAACGTTAGTTTTGATTATAAGAATATCTCGCTATGTCCCTCGTGTTTCAGTATTAGAAAGTATAGAGTGCGCGTAAGATGGCTTCTTCGCAAAGCTTTTTAGGGTTGCCGGCAAGGGAAGGCGATTGCCACATTGGGCGATCGCCTAGGGCCACAAATTGGCGATATGCCATGGACGATGTTCTGGAACGGGGTCGTCGAGTATATAACCCTGCTGGTCCTGTTCGGAGGTCTCGTCGTGCGTGTTATCCTTAGCGTGCGGAGACGATCGAGTTGACAGTGGAGCCATGCCGTCGAGTGCACCAACGGAGTCTCTTAGCGCATCGTCGAGAGAGCGTGTTGAGCTCCGGGAAAGACTGAACCGAAGAGTTGGGAGCTGTGCTTTGTGTGTCGAGAGTGCATCGCGAGTTGCAGCGAGGAGAGTCTCGAGAGTGGGTGGAGTTCCGAGAACGACCAAGCAGAGTCGGGAGCTGTACTCTGGTGCTTTGCAGTGAAGCTGTCTCCACCGTTATAGCCTGATAACATGAAGACTATATCGCTGATTGTTCCAGCGAGTGTATAGTAGATCTTCGACGACTGTAAAACGTGACTTTGGAGCTGTCCTGATTAATATTGGCTAAATAAAGTGTGTTTCGATACTTTATCAAGTGTTGTCGTTATTCACTCCAAATCTACGAACACCGTACGATCGTGAAGGAAGAAAATAACGTAACAACTGATGTCAGAAAATAACGTAACAGTATTGTAGTTTTAGTATTTTAGTATTAGAAATTATTTTACAAATCATAATTTCTTTCACAAATCAGTCGTTTTCCAAATTCGAGATTTCCCTAAATATTAGTGATTTCAAAGAACCGTTATTGTTTTGATTATAAGAAATATCTCGCTATATTTCGTTATGTTATCTTATAACTATGCTTATTTCAAAGTGCGAAGTTAAGTTTTCATCCACGGGTTTGCATTCTAAAGTATTTTCAAAAGTTGATCCGTTTAAATCTCCACATATGATTTTATTTCACTGTCCGCTCTTGAAATACGAAAGGATTCCAGAAATTTTCTTACAATTCAGGATTTCTTTCACAAATCAGTCGTCTTTTAAACTCACAATTTATATATCTGGTATATCTACATATATCTAAATATATATCTAGTAGAAAGCATGATTATTTAATTAATGAATGTAGTACTGATTCCGTAAAGACATCTTCCTGAACACACAAAGAAGCGCTAAAAATTTCTTGTAAATTATATTTAAAAAACTATGAGGACATGTCCTGAAGAGGTATTTGGCATTAAAATGCAGACCTGTCTTGCTTATTTCCCGATAACTTGTAAGATTTTCACTGTGTAAATCTCAGTTACTGTAGAAAGTGACGAATCTTAAGAACTAGTTAGCGAATAATCGCTTAAGTTCGTGTGACAAGAAACAACAAGATGGAAGGGTAACTAACCCTTTATTATTCCATAAGATTTAACAAAACTCCGTCTTGGAGTGTACAATCAAAGCCGACACTTGGGCTTGAACTTAAGAGACTAAGAATTAAACTAAAGATTAACTAAAGAAATATAGCCGAAGCTGTCAAGTTTCTAATGCAGTTGGCCCCTTGAACACTGGATAGTTTGGTTTGGTTTGGTTTATTAAATTACGGCAAAGCACTCGAGGGCTAACTCTGATTCTCTCTCGCTAAGACCAAAGAACTTCGCGGTTAAATACCGCTCTTCCTCATTATGTATTCAGATGTGATTCTAAAACTACGTTCTGGCCGGAAGTAGTAAGTTGAAGTTAAGAATTTGACAGGAAAGGAACTTTAACTTAAAATTTAACTGTTAATAAAATTAACATAATCCTTACAAACTTAAAAAGGTAAATGTCGCTTTAAGTTAAGTAAAACGTTCGGTAAAAGTTTGATAATTAACCAATGGTAAATTTTGACTAGCAGTGGACTTAGTATGTATGTACGTACGCATGTATGTACGCATGTATGTACGTACTACGTATGTGTGTATCTCGCATAACTCACGAACAAGTAGCCGTAGAGCTTTGAAATTTTGTACATGGACTGCTATAACATGTATTTGTGCACCTTCCTTTTTCGTTGCAATTGGCTGCATAAATTGTATACATATATATATATGTATACAATTGATTATGTGTGTATATATTCCCATTTTGTTTCCTGACTCAGTGAGCTTAGTTTTTAATTATCATATGATAGTAAATTGCGTATTTTTTTGTTTTGAAAGTGATTGAATTTGGCGGTTTTATATTCCAGTTCAGTTCTTTATGCCTTTAGTTAATCTGCATGCAATAGTTGTAGAATTATCTACAATTTAAAAGTGGCGAATTAAGCCTAGTGAACCGCCATTTTTTTTTTATTTGATACTCAATGGAATAGTGAATTAAGTCAGTTTCTGCACCTTCAGTGTCTTTTTACCGACTGAGATCAAAAGTGAACTTTCACCGAAACTCTGCATTCCTGCCCGTGTCAGATTGCTTATTTTAGCGTAGAAACTCTAATTTTAATTGCAAATTTTTTAACTGTTTTAACCGTATTTGCTGATTTATGTTTTTCTGTATTTTACAATTTTTAATGAAGATATTCTGAGATTTAATGTATTTTTGCTTTGTCGCGAAGTGAGAACTTAATTAAATGATTGTGAAAATATCTCTAATAAAATTAAATTAAATGCAGCAAAAAATGTGTTTAATGGCCATACGACGAAGTTATGTGAAGTCCACATCATATTTTTTTTTTTTTTACTTCTTAATTGCTTTAAGTATTTTTTATACTTGACTGCAAGTATAAAAAAACTCTGTTTCTACCTGAAAGCGGGTTTATTTTAAAAAGTTTTTTTTTTCCCTTAGTTTTTGAACACTCACCTCTGCAAATATTTCTATGTGTATTATCATTCAGTTTTATAAATTGCTTCAAAAATTAAAATGATTTTTAA